ATTTCCCTCCTTCCCAACCTGCAGTTCTGTTTTTCTAGTAAAACATAAGTGGCTTTGCATAAATTCGTATGAAAATACAGCTATATGATGCTTGGAAATTAAAGCACACTGTCTAATGATGGTGCCCTCAGGTCTTCATTAGGGCTGAGGGCCCTGTTGTGGTATAAGCCTGTACAAACCCTTCTACACCTTCTACAGAACATATGTTGACCAAGTCATCATGATTTTTAAGAGCAGAAAGTGCAGCAGCAATTGCTCATCCTTTTTTTTTTTTTTTTTTTTTAATTCTATAAAGCTCAGAGAAGTAGAGTCTGCTTTGGCAAGGAAAGATGATCAAAGTCTGCTTTCTTATATGTGGCCCCTTCTTGTATTTCATTACTTCGTCTTTCAATTTCCAGACATGGCAAGAGAGATACCTGCCCAAATCTTCATGTAACATGCAAAGGGGGAAAAAAAAAATGAGCCCTTGCAGGAAACTAGCTGTCATCTGGGCTTGTGTAAGATAACCGAAACCCATCTGGATAGAAAATAAGCTATTTTGAAAGTACAGCAGGTCCTTTGGCTTGGATTAGGGTTTTTTTTTTAATAGAGAAACTTAAAAAAAAAAAAGAAGTTATATTCATAAATTGAAGACTCTCTATGTTTGCTAAAATCATTATCTCTGGAATGTGAAAATAGAACAAAAAAGAAAACCAAGAAAATCTTTACTCTAGGACAGCACACCTGTTAGTTTTCTGAAGAACCAGATGACATGCTGGAGATACAAAGAGTAGAGATCAGTAGCTTTCTTCAAAGGCCACCATTACATTTTCATAAAAGCATTTCTTTCTTGGTGTGGTTAGTTGGAACATTTATCTGAACAGCCAGGTTGTCTTTGGTCTATCTTCTATATTTTTGGCATTCTTGGCTCTTAGATGAAATAGCCCTGTAGGTGAAATTGCCTTGTGGCTGTAATTTCTTTAATACAGCTCCACTTGTTTGGTGCGGGCATACTCTGGGTATTATTTGCATGGTAAAAACAAGCTACCCAATTCCCAGGCTGTCTTGACAGATACAGGATCTCTTCTTAGCTATAGTTCCACAAACATACCCAGCCTGGCTTCCAGGTGGTTCATCTTCCTCTTCAACCATTACTAGTAGCATTGCTGCTAGTAGTCATGTATTAACTCTCAACTCCAGGTCCACATTGACACAAAACCTTGGAGCAAAATTTAGCCACAATATAGCCCATAAAACCTTTTAATCTGGTGTTTGAGAAAGTACAGAAATCAAGCTGTCGGATGACTTGTGGTTCTACTCCATTAACTGGTTTTAACCATTTTAATGATGTTGAATTTGCAAATCTGTTGCAGTAGCTTTTTAAGACAACAGTGTATTTAATAGTATGTTTCCTTTAAATATATGCATCCCTACTGAATAGAAACAAAGATAATTTTAAAAAAAATCGTATTTTTTTGTATCTATGTTCCCTTCTGCTGAAGAAGGTAAAGAGGAAGGGAGAAATTCTGTCTGCAAACTGTTAGAGCAGTGTCCTGCGGAGATCCGCACAGCAAAGATGTGCGCTGCTTCATTATTTTATAGCAACAGGTGTGCTGACTTAGCACAGAATAACTCTCTCATGCTTTCTCCCCTTCAATTATACCTCTTCCTGGAGCTGGCAGCTGCAACAGAGATCAGCCTCCTCCCCTGCTGTACTGAGCCTCAGTAATTTGTTATTTCATATGGTTGAGGTCTGCAACCTGACCAGAAGCTCAGCGCCTTACACAGGGGCGAGGGGAGCAAGAAGGGTATGCATCCCCTTTTACGTTTTGAACTGCTGGCATCCTTCCATGCTTGCAGAGGGCCCGGTCCCTGCCCACGTCTTCACTCCTGGGTGAACAGCATTCAGATTAACTCCTCCGTGACTCTGGTAGGAGCAGCTAGCCTGCAAAAAAGCCCATGAGCTGCAGAGAGATCAGGTTATGGCAGTGAGTGACTGTCTTGGAGTTGGACTAATTGGAGCGCTGTAGTCTCTGTCCCACCTGACGTGGCCTTTCAGGGCTTTTCCTCCTCATTTAAGGTTGTACGTATGCAGGGAGGATGTGAATTAGGGGCAGCACTCAAAGTAAATTCAGCAATGATATTTTTGAGACTATTTGTGCTGTGTCAATACCGGTTGTATTCTTTTCCCCCTTCCCCCTTTTCCATGTGTGTTTGAAGAAGTTGGCATTTAATAATTTGAGGTTGAAATGGTTAGATAAAAAGTGTAGGTTTGCGTGAGGGAGAGCTGGGAAGAGGAGACTTTTTCTTATTTCGAGTCCTTCTGAACTTCACCAGTGGTTCTGCCCAACAGGAGAAAACATGCATATATACCTTGGGAAAATCTGGCACTGCTTTATTTTAATTACAGAAAACATACAGAAAATATCCTGTTCTCCTGCTATTTTAAAATGCTGTAAATTGTGTGGCTTCCTGTGATGTCATGTGTGGCATTGTTTAATGTGAGGTAGGGGATGGGAAAGGTAGGTGATGTACTTTCTGCACGAATCAGCTTCAGAAAAGTTAATGGTTTGACCTTCATCTGAAGGAAGGGAAGAGATAGGAAAGCTGTGTTTTTAATGCTCGGAAAAGTAAGGAAGAATCATAAAGACAGGAAAGGGAAAATACTTTTTAACACATGATCTCATTGTTACTTTTTTCACTGGTAATTTATTAGCCCAGCAAATGTTGTCTATGACAATTAAATAGTGCTTGACCTCACTGCAAAAGGACTGCTAGATGTAACAGATCAAGCTTAATTCTGAGCGATCCTAATATTCAGAGAGATTGGGTTTGACATTTGCTGTGTTGTGAATGAGGAGATTTGTGATGTCAACCTGAATGTTGAGTAACTTTTTTTTAATGGCTTTTTCCAGTGATGTGTGAGAATGGTTGCATTAGGGGCAAGGGACGGTCTGCACAGCTGAAGGAGATGCAGCTTCTCTTGGGGTGTTCTGCAATTGAGAACTTCCATAGAATGGCAGATGGATGTGTTTTGTTTCAGAAAGTGCCATGATTAGGAACTTTGTATATTCCTTGTAAAGTGGAGCTGGTTAAAATTTTCACATCTAAACAAATCTACTTTAGGGGTGACATCTGCCTCAAATATTTGAGATCTGTTTGAATCTCAGTGAAGCTCAAATATTTGAGATCTGTTGGGATCTCAGTGAAGCTGCTCTAAAAGTGAGACATCAGATTAAATCTTCAAAACCTGCTTCTGACTCTGACAGCCTTAATTTCAGTAGTGAGGGTATGTTTTTTCAGTGTATGTTCAGTGAAGATTTCTGGGATGAAACTTTTCATTCATTCATGCCACTAGCGGGCAAAAATCTGGTGGCTTAATTTCTCTCTTAGGCATATGCCAAAAAAAAGAGCAAGGGAAACCTGGGTTTTTTGTTTGTTTTGTGGTTTTTTTGGTGTTCTTTTTTTTTGGGGGGGGGGGGGATTGGTTTAGTTAATCTGTGACTTGGTTTAGGAATAGAGAGAGTTTTGCATGTGGCATCCTTTTGTATCCGTTTTAAACATGGACCTAGACCTCAGGCCTGGTCTATGCGTCGAGCGGTGTCCTGGTACTGTCGGACTCCAGGACTCAGGTAAGTATCTGAATGCTTCTGTATAGGCAAAGTGCTGGACGAGTAAAGATGCCCCAGTGTCTTGGAAGAATCTGTTTGTCTTGGCAAGAAGTTTTGGGTTTTTTTTTTGCAATTAGTTTGTAATTCAGCCTTTTGGTGAAGCAGCCGTCTCCGAAACACCTTTCTTAATCTGAGTGATAGTTATGTCTGTATAGGCTTGTCACGTATACATGCTCCTGCTCCTCTTCTGTGTGCCCACCAGGTCTTGGAGACAGGGCAGGAGTCTCGGGGAGAGGGGGTGATAGCCTGGCTTGCTTTCGCTGGTTTTTGTGGGGTTTTTGGCACCCTCCCTTGAAGGCAGGCAATCCAGGGGGATTTCTTCCAGTCCTGCTCGGCCATGGAGCTGGGAAATGGAGGTGCTGAAGGGGGGCAGATGTGGAGAGGAATAACTTTTATTTCACTTCCACTACTTTTGTGCACGGATCTCCCTCCCCCTGCCCTTGCCTCTCCGCCCGTCATCCAAAAATCTCAATCTATAACAAGACTAGCTTTTAATCATTTGAGTAGCTTGGACTTTGCTGTGAGGCATTCAAAGATAGAAGCTGAGGCACTGGAGAAAGAGCTGATTCTTTTATCTTAGTGTATCTGGTATCGTGTTCATATTCCCAGTTAAAAAGAGACCTTTGTTTCCCCACTGGTGAGGAGGCCTTGGGAGTGTGGTGAGACTAGTAGTTTCTGATGTGTGTTTCTCTGATCCCATAGTAGCATATTGATGGAGCTCAATTGCTGCTCGGTTGGTTTTTTTGAACTACATAATTTTGTTTAAATTGCACATTTTGTAAACTGACTTGAAGAGTTAATAACTGTTTTAATACTAACTTGTAAGGACATAGTCCAGGTTAAAAATAAAATTACAGCTGTTGGGACCAGACTGAGTTCAAGGCCTATTAGTATTAGTATTGTCTTCAGAAAAAAATATCTCTCCTTATTAGCAAGGTTTTGGGTTACAGGCCATTACGTGATTAGCAGGATCACAAGTGCAGCGAAATGAACTGCATGTCAGCATTGTAACGCGCTTACTTCCCAGCATTTCTTTGTGCGAATAAAACTAGAACACAGAATTGCGGTTTGTTCTTGGCTCTTCTTCACTGGCCCTCTGTGAAAACAAGCTCCCATCTGGCGAACCAGGTAGCTAGCACGAACGCTATGAATTCAAGCTATGCAGTAACCGGATATAAGGAAAAGAGTTCTTGCTTAGACATGCGCTCCTAGATTTGACTGCCTTGTTTTTAAGACAGATGTGAATATGCCCTAGGGGAGGAAGAATGTGGGTTTTTTTCCCCCGTATAGACTAGTCCTTCAGAACTGAGTTTCTAATGCTGTGGCTTTTCCCTCTTTCTCCCTTTCCAGTCCTTCCTCCGGTGCTGGTTCCAAGGCACAGCGAGTACAACCCTCAGCACAGCCTCTTGGCCCAATTCCGCAACCTGGGACAAAACGAGCCCCACATGCCACACAATGCTACTTTCCCGGACTCTTTTCAGCAACCCAATAGTCACCCGTTCCCCCACTCGCCCAACAGCAGCTATCCAAACTCACCTGGAAGCAGCAGTAGCACCTACCCGCATTCTCCAGCCAGCTCAGACCCGGGAAGTCCTTTCCAGATACCAGGTACAGTCAACTTTGGTTTCTCTTCGGGAGGGAGAAGGTGGTGGGACATCACTCGTGTCATGATTTTTTTGCTTAGTAATATCAAATTATCAACCAACACTTGTGTTCAACAGTGAGCTGAGAGATGTAAGGTAATAAAGACTATGTAATCGCTTTGTATAGTAATAATATTGAGGGTTTTAATATTATGCCTCTCTCAAACGCAGTTAAAACATTACAGTAAAAGTCTTCTGGGGCGGGGGGAGGGATTCAAAATGTTTTGGGGACCAGTTCAACAGTTTAGTCCACAAAGCATAGTGTTTAATGCACAAGAAGCGTAATGCTACAGATCATTCTTGCTTAGGAAAGAGATTGTCATAAATTCAGCACAAGGCTTTAGTTCTGCAGAAGAAGGATATTTCTCAAGGGGATCATGCTATTGCTACTTGATAAAATTTCTTCACATAATGATGTAATTTCAAGAAACAAATATACTTCAATGGAAAAACAGGCCCTGAAAAGAAATCTTCAGGCTGTTACTTCCTAAAGTCAAAGAAGCAACAACCTTTCTTTGTTGACTGATGTCCGTAGAAAATTCTGTGAAGCTGTCTGTTTTTTGGTCTTTTCATGTGGATGGATAAAAATACTGCAGAAGCAGTCTGTGACAGATTTCTTGATCTAAATGCTAGGAGAGGGACTCCATACAAATGCTTACTGATGTTCTGTTTGCATGTTTTCTTCCTGAGCTGAGGGAAGGGCATGTGTAAACGAAGCGGCAGACTTGTAAAAATGTGTTTCCTATTACGTGAAATTAACATCCATAGATTTCTGCTGCTGATAGTTATTTCTCTTTAAAATTTTTCTCTTGTGAGTGAAGACTACTGAATTTGCAGAGGCAGGAGGGAAGGAAAGAGTTTGTACTGGCTTTTCTAAAAAAATGTGAAAAGTTGCCGCAAAACCAGCTGTCTTTCCTTCCTTTTTTTTTTTTTTTTTTAAATTATGATTAGTGTGGTTGGGGCTCTTCCAGCAGAGATAAAGGCTTCTCTAACAAGGTCTTCCTGAACACTGGCTTATGGAAGTTCACTTGATCTTTGGGGGTCTGTTCTGTCCACATGCCCATAAAGACAAGTCAGCAGCTGCAGTGAAGAAATTGAATTAGAAGAGAGGTCAAGATACTGATGTCCTTGATGCTTAGCTCTGGACAGTTGTCTGTCTTGCACTAATGGGGAAAGAGGCTGACTTTTGGAAAATACAAAAAAAGGAGCAAAGCAGTTATCCAGAGATCTTGAAAACTTTCTAGATACTGGCTAATTTGTTGCCTGTGGCCTTACAATCTTGGCATCTATCTATGCATCACTAACATCACGTTTGCACACACACGAACACTTAAGGCTTAGTAAAACACGAGATTTAAACTCCAGTGCAGACTGTTAAGCTTTTAATGCAGTCCTGTTGTCATCTTTGTCTTCCTCTGCTGCTCTCGTCCAACTGAGGGTATCCAAGTAAGGGAATTAGCAAGGTACCTGCCAGCATTAGATGTAAAGCTCTCAACAGAGTATCTCCTAGACAATAAGCAGTTAATAGATTTAATTAACATGTGTTTTCTTTAAAAAAACAAAACAAAACAAAAACAAAAAAAACCCAAAAAAACCAACCACAAAAAAAAAAAAACCAAACAAAACCAAAACAAAAAAAACCAACAAAACTTACAAAGCAGTGGTATGATTCTCCTGCCTCTTGTTGATGCTAGTTTGGCTTTCAGGGTTTTGGAGGTCCCTGTGATTATTTGCTGTGGTAGTTTGCAATCCATGCTCTCAGTAACGGAAGTAAATGTGGGATGAGCAGCAGCCATGTTCACCAGAGATAGTACAGCGGTAATCTAATCTCAGCTTTTGCAGCGAAAGCTTCTAGGGATCAGGCATGGGTTTCTCTTTTCTGCATGTACCTCTGTGCAATTGCTTTGGAGGAGAGCATCCTCTGGTGTATTGGGAAATGGTGAGATTGGCAACTTCCTGCAGCTTCTAAGAAGCCGTTTGGGAAGCTTTCCCAGAAGTGAAGTAGGCAGCTGAAGGACAACGCGAGTACCTGGCTGGGATGCTTCAAACAGGGCTGAAAGCAGTGTTTTAGTGAGTACAGTCATTGTGCACGGGCTAGCTTTATGCTAGTGATTCAATCCTGAATGGGGCAGTACAGCCAGTAAGAGACACTGACAGATGATTTCCAGACCCAGATGGCTACTTCTGTAGAATTTGGGCTCCTGAACACTTTCTACTGTTCCCAATTTAGGGAAATAGAGCTAATAGTTCGCAATGACAATAATAAGATCCTGGATATATCTGGGATGTTTGCATACTTTGCTCGTAGAATCATGTTGGAAACAGAAAAGTTCGAACTGAAAGTTTTCTGCTCCAACTTCTGTTCGCATTTACCGTATCCGATATCTACTTCTGGCCTGGTCCTGAGACCTCTTTGTGCCTTAATGTCTATATGGCACTTTCAACTTCCAAAAAACATGGGCTGGAAACATAGCTGAGCTTTCTTTTGTGGCTTGATGGCTGGGAAGTGACTTGGTTTTATTGCAGTTGTGCTTAATATGCACAGTAATTCTTTGCTTTCCTGATTCAAGGTCCATGATTGCTTTCTCAGATTTCTGGTGGGTGGAAGTTTATAGCTGAGTCAGGCTGGAAGCATTTCTAGGCTAAAACTGTTTATGTGAGTATGTATATATACTTTAAAGAGAAGAAAGGACTCGTGTATCTCTGCCTTTTCTATATTTAGCTGATACTCCCCCTCCTGCTTACCTGCCTCCAGAAGATCAGATGACGCACGATACCTCCCAGCCAATGGATACCAACATGATGGCACCCACAATTCCCCCTGACATACACAGAGGAGGTAAAAACCCTTCCTTCTCGACTTCTGCTTTGCTTATTAAGAGTAAAGAACTTTCAGAACTTACTTTTAATAATTGAGTTTTAGTTCTGGATGTATGTTGTTTATGGAAATTGTTAGCTGTAGAAAAGGAAAAAAAAACAGCCATGTAATTTTTTTCTGTTGTTGTAAGGGATGAAATAGTAAATCTGGAGATAAAGTTTATAAATGTAAATATGTATTTAGGACAAGAAGCTATCACATGACTCTGTAAAATGTATGGGGTTTATTACTTTCTTACTCCCAACCAACTCAACGACCAAAGTCATTTTATGCTTTGTATCTGGAACTTCCACTAATCACCAGACAGAAACAATTCCTATGATGCTGCACGTTTCTGTGTGCGATGCTGAAATTACATGCGTGCAAGGAAAGGAATCTCTTTCTCTCTTATAATTACATTGATTTATTGGAACAATGCAGTTAATGCTATATAAAGCCTACTGAATTGTGGATGACAGTAGATATGATCAAGTATAGCTCTCAAAGCAAAGACTTGATCAGAGGATGGAAGCTAATACTGTCAGTTATGTAAACGCCCAGAGACTTTTTACATGGGCAACTGCAGTATCTGTATTTTTTCCTCTGAGACAGTGCATCTCATAAAGCTGTCTATGTTTTTGTCCTGAATTCTAAATTTCAGTCCTTAAAGAGTATGCTCTGCTTTTAATAATTTACCCTTCTCCTGGTCATAAGGGCCAGGGGTTTTTTTTTGTATTTTGTGTTGTTCCACCCTGTCTCCCCATTTTTGTTCCATCTTTGAGCCATGCAGTGACAGCACTTGGTTCAGAATTCAGAACTGTCTGCCTGAGGAGTGGCATTGCTACAGACTTTAAAATCTGTGTTTAAAAAAAAACCCTATTGCTTTATGTACTGACACAGACATCTCTTTACACATTACTTTTTAAAGCCTTTGCAGCCAGCTGTGACTGCTGAGTTAAAGGATTTAGTGCATTCATCACATTGTGAGAAATAGCCCCTTTAGAGAACACATAAGCTTACACAGTTGTGACCCATACCAAGAAAGAGCAGCAAGCTGGATGCTGTGCTGGGATGATTATCAAGATCACAAGCATATGAACAATTTAACTGTTGTTTGATTGTTTGGGGTTTTTTTTTCTGGTACTTGTTTTGTTGCTAAGCTTAATGTCTGGTTTCAGGAATTATATTTGCCCTCTTAGAACAATTTGGATAGCTTTTGTGTTAACCTATTTACTCTCTGTGTGGAATGAGTTTTGCATGTGATAAACACCATCTGTAGCATTTCCGCTTTTCGCTGATCCAGTACACTCTGTGTGTATGTATAGTCCTTGCTGGCCCAAAGTATGTTTATGCCTAACTGCAGACCTTTGCATGTTTGTCCCTCTCCCAAAATACACGAGTACTGTAGGATTCCTCTATTACATGACAGTTGATAAAGACAAAAGGGTTTTCTTCTTGCTTTTTAACATTCAACCATTTCAAAATAAAAATTGTGTCTATTAGTATTTTTCCCTCCTAGTAGTTTAGTACAATGGATTTTCATCTCTGTCCCTTCATTTAAGGGGGGGGGGGTCGGGAAAGATACCTTACTCCTGTGTGCCTTCACATGTTTATTATTCGTATATGTATGCTGTAATTGCACTAATTTAAAAAAAAAATCTGCTGCACGTTGTAAAAGAAGAGTTTTTACAGTGAACTTACTGCAGCATTCTTGTTGCAAACTTTTTAGGAGCATGTTCTTCATGGTGATTTGTTAGTCTTGGGAGATTTGATTTAACAAGCTGCATCCTGTCAATGAAGTTGGGTAATTTCCATTGTTGGCCCATGCTGGGAATAGAGAGACTAAACGCACCTGCTCTGCATGACTTAAAGCAAATGTAAGGAAGTTAGTGTGAAATCTGTGTGAGAGAGATATGATTCATTCTGTAAGAATGGCCAGCTGGCAAGATTTCTTCCTGACTTTGAGAACTGGGGCAAAGCTGCAGCTTTGATAATTGCTGGCATCTTCATGGGAATTAAAAGTGTAGTAACCTCTTACTAATAATTAGTGACTGATTTTTATTTTTTTTTTACTGTTTTTTTTACAGTGACGTGAAAGGATAGAAAACACTAGGGTATCAGGAAAGATAAGCTCCTTTGTACCGGTGTTTTAAGCAAGTTATTGGTCAGCAGTAGACACCATGCTCAGAAGTTTTGCACAGTGATATAGGATGTATTAGCCTGCTCTTGATTATTTGCTGCCTTTTGTATCTGCTGTGTACTGCTTGTTTGGGAGACTTTATGGGTTTTGTTTTGCACGTGTCAGAAAACTCATAGCGGTATGATCTGTGAGCACAGGAAAATAAGAACACTGGTCTTAGTTGGCTGATTTCAGTAAAGACTTGGGGCTGTGAGAAGAAAACCTCTGGCCAGAGAAACAAGTTTTCCCATAATACCGGTCTGATTTTCATTTTAGCACTTTGACCTGTAGTTGGAGCTTTAATCTGCAGAGTTGGTATCTTAGCAGCAAGTCGAACTGTGCTAGGCTTAGCAATGAAATAGTCTCCTTCATTTGAAAGAAACCACATAAAGCAACCACATCCCTTCACTAGCCTCCTTTTATTTGGAGGCAGTTTAATAATTTGTAGCTGTATTTGGCACTTGAAAGAATGCTCGCTGGGTGGAGATATCTGAGGAAGCCTATGCTGCTGTTGGACACCCACTCAGAAACTCTTTTTGGTAAAGACCTTCGGTATCATCTGGAGAAATTGTCCCCTGTGCACAGTCACAAGTGTTACCTCAAGACTTCCGTGTGTTTCTAGAGCTTGATGGGTGAAAGTCGTGAACCAGGAATTTCCTGTCGGCATTCTGCACAATTCCCAGCTTCAGTTAGGAGCTGCTGAGGAGCTTCTTGTTACCAGAGTCTGGAAAACCACATTCTGAGAAATCCTTGCTATTACTCAACAAGTAATTCTTTTCGTGATGAACAGTTGCAGATTTTGCATTTGGTAGCACCTGATGAATAAAAGGTTCTCATTAAATAGTTTCTTCCTCCATTTCATCTGCTGTTCAGCCCAGTGTAATTGTTAGGATCCTGCGCGTTATGCCCTTGTTCAGCTTCCAATCCCAAGCAGTATCTATTCATATTGAAGATGTGCTTCATGCATGTTCTGCAGACAGATGTCAATCTCTCTTAGTTTTTGAAGTCTCCTACCCTTCCCCCAAGAAGCCCAGGAGAAAGATTTGTGCACGCCCTGAATGCCAAAAGATTGATCTGCCGACTGTATATTTAAGCTCCTTGCTATACTTCTTCATACCCAAAGTTACAAATGGTCTCTTGTGCAATTGCGTGATGCTGTTTCTCCCTCTCACTATACAATTTTGCAGTAAGCATAGAGGTGACTTGTAATTTGGTAGCTGTGTAAAATGAACTGAAGTAGAAGTTCCTTTACTAAATTGGAAAGAAATCTGAGCTATGTAATTGTAGCGTTTCTCTGCTGTCTGGGCCCGCACTATAGCGTGTTGTAGAAAATGTGGCAGGAATATTGGGGCACTGCTTGGTGTGTGTCCAGGAGCTTCCTGCACTTTTCTGTTGATACCTAGTGCCAACCTTTGTCTCTTGTGAGTCTTGTGCAAGTAAAGTTGAGGTGAAATTACTCTGTTGTATGTCTGTAGCTATGAAAAGTTCAAAAATAACTGAAGATAGAAGAGCCTTCCTTTATCTGCAATTGCTTATCCAGCTCATCTCTCAGTGATCTTCAGCCAAAATCTGCAGGTTTATGAATCTTTACATCTCGAGCCTGTATTCCAGCGCCGTTAGACTGTAACGTTTCCATTGTTGCTTTACAGATGTTCAGGCGGTCGCTTACGAAGAGCCGAAGCATTGGTGCTCCATCGTGTACTATGAGCTGAATAATCGCGTCGGGGAGGCATTCCACGCTTCTTCCACCAGCGTCCTGGTGGATGGCTTCACTGATCCTTCAAACAACAAGAACAGGTTTTGCCTGGGGCTGCTCTCGAACGTTAACCGCAACTCCACCATTGAGAACACTAGGCGGCATATTGGCAAAGGTGAGTTTTGGATCTCTGCATCCATTTTTTGGGGCTGGGGGCGGGGGTGGGGGTCGTTTCCCCTTGACATGACAACCTGGGCCACTTGCCTCAAGAGCAGGCTGGTCTTCCCAAGTACATGGGATAAGTGCTTGTGTTGGTAAATACATAATTTTCTGGCCAGGTTCTTGTAAGCAAAGTATTGTTCTTACCTGGTGTGTAATTGCAGGAAGCTTTTACCCTTAAGCATTTTTTAATTTCCCAAAGGCTATCATAATCTTAATTACAATGAGAGCTTAAGACAGTTTGTCTAATGAAATGTTTTGATTTATCTTGATTATTGGTGTATATGGAAATCCAAATTATAGTTCTTGGCACCAAATTTTTAGCTAGCCTTAGTTCCAACATAAATTAGCTATCCTAACATGTGTTTAGAGAGACAACCTGCTAAAACAGTTTTTCCAAATGCATTTTTCACAGGCTGGTGATTCTTTCAGTGGGAATTTTGTGCTTCTCTTCCATGGCTGTGATAGTGTCCGGCAAAAGAGAAAAAGCTTCTGGTTTATGTCTGACTTAATACAGTCCTCTCTTCTGAGAACTCACCTATAATGCAAATGACAGGCAAAACTGACTCATTCCTGCCAGACAAACTTTTTAGGTGTTTACATTATTAGTAAACTCTAAATTTTCTGAGACAGTTGAGGGTTTAGCATGCCCAAGCAGTGGGGTGTATGTTGTATGTGCCAATTAATGAAGTATCTTCCTCCTCCTCAGAGGAGAAAAGAATTGAAATTGAAGAGAACAGTCAGGTCTTCAAGTTTGAGCCCTTCGTCTGGAGAGCTTTTCTCTACATGAGGACTTGTGCAGCTCTCAGCAGTACACGACACCTGTGCTGTGCCACTCAAGTCCTAATACTTCTTCCTTCTTTTCCTCCCCATCCATCTTACCAAGTATCAGGATATTTATTTAACACCTCATTCATTTTCCTGTTAAAAGTAACCCAGCTGCAAGCAGAGTTCTGCTGAAACACTTAACTGCGTAGGTACCGAAGCAGAGCGTGGAAGGGACAAGGATGCTGTTGAATAAGTAGATGTGTACAACTAATGATGATGTAGAACTGTTAGTCTTTGAGGAAAGAGGAGTAAATCCCAAACATGAAGACATAGCCATAAACGTTTTTGCAGATCAGGTGGGAGTAAATATGTACCCACACAGGTACATGCATAGTCAGTGGCAAAATCTTACATGACAGAGCACAGTCAAGGCTTTCTGACTGGTTTAGTTTTTAAATTCTGTGTGTTCACTTCTCTGACTCGTGACATTGTGGGAGGTGAAAGGTTTAAACAGCAAATGATCTATTTTTAAACACAAAAGGCAAATTTTCTTGTTTTCTCAAAGCCTTTGGAATTGAGTCCTAGTGACAGCAAATCTCCTCAAAGGTTCCCTGTATGTCGCTCTTCTGGGGCTTGCTGCCATCAGTGGCAGGTGAGGGAGCAGGCAGTAGAAGGGGAAAGGACTAAAAAATCGGTGTGTACCCTCATTTGACAGATACATTTGAGGCATATATAGGCCATTTTCTTTTTCCAGCTTTCTGGAATTAAAGCGAGCTGAAGAAACTCATGCTACCCAAAATAGCATTCAGGACTTTTCCAGAGAATCCAGCTTGGGGCGGCTTTAGTATCTACAAATTATGCAGTAGGTTTCTGCTCTCTCCTCTTGCATTCCCAATTAGTGTTTTACATAAATATAATGAGAGAAAGTTCAAGTGGTCAAGCCATCTGACGTACTACATCAAAACTACTGCAGTGCTTGCTAGTTTATTGTTGTTGAATATATGTGTTAAAATGCAGGAATTACCGATTTCCCTTATATATATATACATACATACAAATCCTCCTTTCAAATCACCTACTGATGAAACAGGAAAGTAAAAATCAAGTTTGAAGACAGACAAGTGATGGTCTGATATGCAGTAATGTTTATCTCTTTAAGCAGAAACATATCTCTGTGGAGATAGAGCATGAAAAATAGATACACGGTGTGAATTTGTCTAATCTCCTTATGTCAACCTTCTCCTCCCAGGTGTTCATCTCTATTATGTTGGTGGGGAAGTGTATGCTGAATGTCTTAGCGACAGCAGTATTTTTGTGCAAAGTCGGAACTGCAACTACCATCACGGGTTCCATCCCACCACGGTCTGCAAAATCCCCAGTGGCTGCAGTTTGAAGATTTTCAATAATCAAGAGTTTGCTCAGCTTTTGGCTCAGTCAGTGAACCATGGCTTTGAGACAGTGTATGAGCTTACTAAGATGTGCACTCTCCGTATGAGTTTTGTAAAGGTATGTGAAAATTTGCTTGAGATTATTTTGTAAGCAAAATAAATTATTTTTTCTTAATGTGGTGATTTTGAATGGTCCAGTGCCTCCCTCCAGCGACCTGTTAATAGCTGTTGAATTTTAAGTATGGAATAATGTTCGTTAAGTGTAAGACAGACCTTAATGAAACAAAGTTGTCTTTGTGGACAAAAATCTGTCTGACGCACATACTTCGAAAGCTTGAGGTGGCTTGCAGAAGGTTTTTCTTCACATAAGTCTATAGTCACTTGTGAAGCATTTCTATCATGTTTGTTAACTATTCTAATTTCATTGAATTGCCTCTTGTAAATTTTTAGTGTTTCAGCTGAATTCTTGTATTTAGTATGTGTGTATATAGTCTGTGTGTATAGAGAGTTATTTGCATAATTACTCTGGAATTATGGGGCTTGTCTCTTTAATTTTGTGCGATATGGCAAGATACAGTGCAAGTAAGTTTTGAAAAGAATTGAGTCATTAATTACTTGGCCCAAAAGTGGAGAAGCCACCAATTCATTATGTAGCATCAGCTTTTGCCCCTTTTTTTGCCCATTGTTACAGTCCATGCCGTCTCCTGCTTTGTAAGAGGCCCAGGTGAACTTCATGCTCCTGTTCCTGGGTGGTATTTTTGGAGAGTTGAGCTGGGACTGCAGTGCAAGTCATTATAGTGGTTGTAGGAGTCTAGATAGCATAATCCTCTAAATCTGTCTTGACCAGCAGCTCCCAAACTAGGAGCTGCAGTAATTATTTAGAATAACATACATACCTTTCTATTCTAGGGGAGGGGCATGCAAGGTCAAGATTTGTGATGTGGCTGTGATATAGGTTCTGATATAGAAGGGCTGGTCACATATATGAAAGTAGTCAAATGAAGATGGTAATATACTCTTCTTGATAGGAGATGTATCAGGATGTATTCAGATGTGTTAGGACAGGGGTTCCTAAAATGAAACAGGTTATTTATAGCTCTGCATCCTATAGAGTTGTACGGCAATGTTGCCTGAACGGTTGCAGAGGACCTCCTGTGCATTGGATGTTGCACTGCACAGTGTTTAGAGCTGCTGCCACCGGTGTTGGGAGCTGGGTAATCCCTTCATTGGGGGTTAATACAGAGCAGAGCAAACTATACCTGCGGCTATCTTAGTCTTGTCTCCAGACCTGCCCCAAAAATGGTTCACTTACAAAATGATTTTGAATGCTGTTTGAATGTCTGCTTATATCTTTGGTAATTACTATAACTGAATCAGGTATGAGCTGAAATAAAACCTATCTTGTCTTAACTTGAGAAATAGCCTGCTGGGGAACGACCATGCCCTCTTTCTCCAAAGAGGAATGTTTCTGACTTATTGCTCAGTTTATCGTGTCCATCCTGTGAATGATGCTTTGGTTCTTGTCAGACAGATGCCTCACCCCCACTTCCATAATGTCAGTCTATGACCTCATTTTTTAATTTGTTGATCTGTTTGGCAGCATTTCCCTGCAATTTGTTCTATTTTTGGTCTTGGCAGAGAAGACTTGATTAACCCCCTCTTCAGAGGCTTTATTGGGACATCATGCAGCTGGCAGTGAGATATGGGGAAATTTTGCACTGCCACAGGTTATGTCTTTAAGAATTTAAAGACTTCCATTCCAAGAGATCAAGAGATCTCAAAATGACATTTCCTCTAAATTTAATTCCTTTTTTTTAACTTCAGATTTGTTTGTTGAAATGTGATAATAGTTGGTGCATCAAGGGTGTTATGCTAACCTGGTGATAATGACTGTTGAAAGCTAGAGTATTTTGGTAAGAAAGAAGATGATTGAAGTATGCTTCTTACGTATTTGATACTATAAAATAAGGTGATTTTTTTTCTTTCCCCACTTACAATTCTGTTTCCAGGGTTGGGGAGCTGAATATCATCGCCAAGATGTAACGAGCACTCCATGCTGGATAGAGATACATCTTCATGGTCCCCTTCAGTGGCTGGATAAAGTACTTACTCAGATGGGCTCTCCTCATAATCCTATTTCTTCAGTGTCTTAAAAGGTCCCAAGCTCCTGCATTTTGGAAACAATTGAGCCTTGCATGTACTTGAAGGACGTATGAGTCAGACACACACATTTTTTTTTTTTTTTGTCCCCTGAACTGGCAACAGCTGAATAAGAGCCATGAAAATACTTGACTTCTGTTACCAACTGTTGGATTCAGAAAAAAAAAAAACCAAACCCCTTTGACATTCTGTTGGTATCAAGAATTTTAGTTTACATTGTAATGTACTATTGCAAAGTTGATTTGCAGGGCTTAGTGCAGCGGGGACGACCGAGCCAAAACCACAATCTGTCAGACCGAGTTCCCGAAGGATCCTCCTGTAGCTGGCACTCTGAGATTCTCTTTCTTCCTTATGTTCAGTGCTCCCTGTTTTCCCCTGTGTCCTCTGGGGCTAAGAGCCGATGTTGAAGTCTGCTTTTTGCAGGCTCTCTACAGTACATTTTAAAACCATTTGTCTAAGGTGATGGTTGCTGTTCTCTTTAAAAGAAAAGAAAAAAAGTCATAAGGTTTAATCTCAATTACTGTGTAATAATCTTTGAAATTGTGTCCTGACCATACTGCTGTAAGAATGTTAGGTATGTTTTTTGCTAAATGTATGTACGGTGTATTTGAAAGTTTAGAAATTAATTAGATTTAGACCATAAAGGAATTAGGAATATTTGAATGGGGGGAGGTGGGAGTGGGAAGGGAAGATGACAACTGAAATGTAGAATATATTGTAAACATAGCTTGTTAGTTTAAATTGAGGTCTGAGTTTTGCTGTGCATTTCATTTTTATAGTGGCTTCATCTTGTTAATTCTGACTATTTTTGCCTCTTCGTTTTCCCCCAAAACAATTGTGCAGCTGGTTAATTCTTTTACCTGTGAAGAGGACAAAATGATTATTTCCTGCAGTTTGAAGGCTGCAGCTCTATGTATTTCAAGACAAAAATGTACAGAGTGCTCTTTAACTATTGAGCAGTTTTATACACTTTATGTAACAGAAGTAGGCTTTTAATTTTGTAAGAGAATCTTGTTTTGCCAAACCTAGTAACTGTTAATTGTTTGGAGGGCTTCAAAATCCCTGTGTGGGTCTATTTCAAACTTTTAAAAAAATATATATTTTTAATTTTTATTTTTTTTTACTGCTTGGTTTATTTTCTTCTCTTTGATCTTTTATATTCACGTAAGCTGTAGTACTTTAAGTACCTTTATTCCAAAACTTAGTGGGTCCTCTTTACTGGAAGTTTTGAATAAAACCTGTTGTTACTGCTTACATTTGATTAAAACCTTGTCTTGTCCACTTCTTAGTAGACTTTTAACAAACCAGATAAAGACATGGTCTTGCAGGAGGAACAACTAGAAATGAAGATATGCTGAGCTTAGACATTTATGATTAGTACAGGTTAGTAACCCTACTGAACTCAGTATATGAGATAAATGAGTACTCTAGAGAGAAAGATTTCTTAACCAGGCAAGATTAGAATGGATGCGGTAACACTGAAGTATCCTAGCCACTTAGTTAAATTTCTGTGAGATTTCAACGTACAGTGTCTGTAGGAGAAGAGATTTTGCTGAGGTTGCACCGTCAGCAGGCTCTCGCTGCTCCTTGCCGTGGTTGTGGTGAAGAGCCTCCATGCTCCCTTCCCCACACCTCTGCCTTTGCTGTGGGGAGAGGTGAGGGAGGGACTGTCCCTTTGCAGCAGCGAACTGTCTGTCAGATGCTGGGATGATGGAGTTTGAGAGACCGGGGGTTGAGTGGAGATCCAGTGCCTGTGCCTGGCTATAATGGACTGTGCAGCACTAACAGGAGCATGAGGGAAAGCTGAGCAACAGAGATGAATGTGTGTTCAGCCAGATGTATGCATGTATATGTCACTGGAATGAGTAATAGCCCTTTTTGCAGAATGAGTCGATCCCATCTGTTTTTTCTTTTTAAAGTTAATCCCATTGCTTGGTTTTTAAAACTAACCCTTCTTCCCCTGCTAAGGGGGAAAAAAATCCATAATGTTCAAGTTGCCTATTTAGGAGAACTTGGTTAGTGACTTTTTTGTATTTGTAAGTTCGAAGAACAGATTTTTTTTTTTTAAATTCAGTTTAACATACGTTTTTCATAAAGAAGCAATCATAGCACAAATGTAAGTCTTAAAAATAAGTAAAATTTAAAGATGACCAAAAAGAGAAAGAATACTGCTTGCTGTTCAGTCACTGTCTCTGTTTTTTCCATCTTCAGCCCCTGGTACATTAATTCCCAGCTGTTCCCAACCAGTTTCCTTCCTTTTGTTGGAATGCAGCACTGAGGTAGTGACTTTTATTTTTTATCAGGGCTGTAACCATCCATCATGCAAGTCTTAAGAGTGTTTCTATTTAGATGTTTTCATATTTGGATGATCCTGTGCAAGTTTTGGTAGACTTTGAAATAGCTTTGGAGTAAGAAAAGACAGTTTTATGTTGTGACTGCTTTTGAATGTTAGTGTCCTGTATGTTTTGGGCTGTAATGCTTCTCTGTTTTTCCTAAACGGGGATTAAAATCAGAAAATATGTGCTCTGCAGTGTCTCAGAAACTTTCAGTGGTAATACTTCTGCAGGGTCCCAGTTTTTGTATGTTCCTTCTGTTGTGAATTTTTCTATGCTGTTGATACTGTTGAAGTGCAGTGTACCTAATATTTTCTTTATCTGTTATCCAGCTTTTTGTTTGTGGTGAGGAGACATTAGGTGTAACGAAAAAGTGTACCTTCATGTGATGGCACAGAGTATCCCAGCTGCACTTTATTAAATAAGCTGAGAGGATTGGAGTAGCACCTGAGACTAATAGCCAGAAAAATAGGAGGTAGGCCAGAAGTTACCTTGGAGGAGGCAACTGCTAGCTTCTTGTGAAGAGGCTCTTGTGAAGATTTCTGGAGCATCTTGGAGAAGTTTTTTTTCTGCTTTGCCCCACTTCAGATAGTTGGAGTCAGAAAGCTGGAAAAGGCACAGGACAAGACAGAAGGAAAAGAGTTTCTTGCTGACCTCTCACAAAACAGAGAATGATGAGAGCTAGGAACTCAGAGAGAGCCTACAGTGTTGACTCTGTAACCAGGTGAGTCCCTGCTGCCTATTTGGTTTCCTGGGTCTAGTCTTCTGAACAGCAGCTAAACACAGAAGACACTACTCCAAGGTGAAAAACCAAGATGGTCTCTGTTAGAAGAAGCTGAAAAGGTATGGCTAACTCTTTTAGAAAAAGAATTGAGGGAGAGCAGTGAACAGTAGATGTGGAGACCAATACTTCCATGGAGCTGAATGTGTGTTGAAATCTGTGCTTTGGCTTTTAAGTGCTGGAAAGAAAATAATTCTCCCCAGGTGGACATGGCTTTTTAACCCTTTAAGTCTCTGGTGAACCTTTGAAGGACTTGATGAAAACTAAGAGAGGTAGTCGTGGTTATTTGTGTGGTTTTAGGAAGGTATGGAGAGAAATAATTCATGTTTTAACATATCCTGTATCAGAATCATGGACCTGATCTTCTAATGCTCACTAACCTGGTATTGCTATCTAGTTTGATAAAGCCATTCCCTTACTAAATCACTTCTCTTGCTACTGTAGCTGTGTTTTCACGACTGCAGTTGTCTTTTCTAGCCTCAAAGAATGCAGTTCTGTGACTATCGTCACTTGAAGATAATAAATCAATGCAGAGGTGTCTGAAATTTATATGGCCCTTTCTTGGTTTGCCTGTCTCCTTGATTTTTCCTTTGTCTTGCCACACTTTAAACCTTTGATTGACATCTTGGAAGTTAGCTGTGTTTTGATGGTCTCTCTATTAATTGCTGCTGGTTCGCTCTGTTCAGCGCACTGTAGCCACTTATTCTGCTCTTGAGATTCATTATTCATAACCGTGAACTGGCAGTCACCTTTTTCTGGATGTGTGCCTAAATATACAACATAACTCTACCATCACCAGTCATGGTAGAGCAATATATTTTTTACATGCATCATCTCACAGTTCATTTTCTTTAAATACATTTGTAATTCCGTGCAGGAGAGAAGTGAAAATGGCTTTTATTTTACTCTGTCCCTTTCTGTCCTTGACTTGAACACCTCAAGGAAGAGACAGCCTGGTCACATTATCTTTTTAGGGGATGTTCTCTCTTGTCTGTTCCCTAAGCTAGGGACTGCTCCTGACTGCTAGATTCTTGATGACTTTCCTTATTTTTTTGAACTCTTTGCAGACAGCTTTTTGTCTGATTCTTTTCTCATACCTGCTGGACACTGTATATTTCAGTCAGACAAAAAACCTTCTACAGTATGCTTGCCAAAGGCAGGTAAAGAATTATGGGTTGCTGTAGGCATTGGAAGCCACCCATAAAGATAAGCATGCTTCACAGGCACCACTTTTTCAACCCCTGCTATCTCAAATGCTTTTTGGAAGAGGAAGGTGAAGTGGGACAGGTTCGTGCTATTGGATTTCACGTTTGCTTGGGATTATTGTTTTAAAGGTTTTTACAGTTATTAAGATTCCCTTCCCTCCTCTCTATGGTAGTATGTTACTTGGCTTGCATCTGACTGAAATGACAGAAATTGTCAGCCAGGGTGCTCAGGCTTTGTATTTAGCAGTTGTGTTCCCTGGCTGCTGCCTTCAGCTTCACAAGCAAGCCTTGCACTTGTTCTCGTCATCTCTCTCTCCCAACAGGCTCCAGAATAAATAACTTGTGTGGTTTGTAGAACGAAGCTCCTGTACTCTCTGCTCGCCTGGGTGACTTGCTCAGAGGGGAAACCTCTGCGGGACAAATGAAGCTGTGTAGCTGGGACCTGGCTCTCATTCGCCGGGACTGCTGATATGTGCAGGATGGCTGAAGTGGTCCTTGTTCCCAGGGGCTGCCATCCTCATGAGGTGCTGTGCCTGTTCCTGTGCCACTGCAGGTCACGCGTCTGTGTGATGTGGCAAACTGCCACCGGTTTGTCTGTGTATGTTCATGTGCTGTGAACTGCTGAGGCAGAGGGCTCCGATATCCCACTTTTCTTCAGTTCAGTTGAGGTGGCTGGCAAGATGGCTCCTATTTCATTCATCCCAGCTGTGGTAGATGATGATCTCTTTAGCTGCAACAGCTATGTCTGACAGGGTATATGGTGAATTGCTTTTCATTGAAGCAGTTGCAATGGAGAGACAACCTCCTGATCAAGCCTGTTGCAATCCCAAAAGTGACTCCAATAAGATTTATAATGT